CAGTGTTTCTCAGCCTCAGCAACTTTAAGATGTATGGACTGCAACTCCCAGAATTCCCCAGCCCCCACCCCCACTGGTGGGGGGTTGGGGGTGGGGGGGGGGGATTCTGGGAGTTGAAGTCCACACATCTTAAAGTTCCCAAGGTTGAGAAACACTGGCATAGAGTAAGATTGAAGCAAATATCTGCTGCTGTTCCAGTTTACCAGAAATGTTTTTAGTCCAAGAGAGAATTGGATTTTCACTTCTGAATGTTGCCGGGGAAAAGGCCACCTTAATTCTGTGTTAATCCTTTTTAGAACGTATGTAGGACATCGGGCACCACAGGAAAAGTAACAAGCACAAACTGGTGGCTGGAAGGCTGATCTTAATTTTTTTCTGGGTGGGTAAGGACCATAGTAATGTGGGGCAATGATGCAAAGTGGATTTGGGAGGGGAATTTTTGAGGCTTACCTTGTATTTTAATTTTGGTAATTTATATTAATTTGGTAATTTAAATTAATTTGGCAATTAATTTGGGATCCAGCAGTGAAAGAAGTCCAGTACTCTGCAGCCCAGTCTGGTCATCTTCCCAGATGTACTTGCTTGACCACTGTATGACTTAGAATGCTGTGATATGTAATCCCATTCTTCTTCCTAAAACCAGGTAGTTGGCAATTGTGGCTGGAGGGGCATTGGGTCATCAAAAGTGATTATCACTTTATCACCTCGATTATCATGGCTACCATTCTTCCCTGGAATGGCTGCACCATTCTCAGCCTGTTCTGTCTCTTCTGTCCTTTTCAGGAGCAGCTTCAAGGTCAAGATTTCAGCAAATTCCAGCCCCTGAAGAGCAAATTGTTGGATGCTGTGGAAGACATGCTGGCCAATGACATTGCCCAGCTGATGGTGTTGGTGCGCCAGGAAGAATCCCAGAGGCCTGTCCAGATGGTGAAGGGTGGAGCCTTTGAGGGCACCCTGCATGGCCCCTTTGGACATGGCTACGGAGAAGGAGCTGGGGAAGGAATCGATGATGCCAATTGGGTGGTAGCCCGAGACAAGCCCATGTACGATGAGATCTTCTACACCTTGTCACCCGTAGATGGGAAAATAACTGGGGCTAATGCTAAGAAAGAGATGGTGAGGTCCAAGCTGCCCAACACCGTCCTGGGCAAGATATGGAAACTGTCCGACATTGACAAGGATGGGATGTTGGATGATGAGGAGTTTGCTCTGGCTAACCATCTCATCAAGGTCAAGTTGGAAGGTCATGAGCTTCCAAGCGAGCTTCCACCCCATCTCATCCCTCCCACCAAGAGGAAACTAGCAGAGTGAGCGATTCCTGGAACACCATCAGGGAAATGGGGGGGGAGGTAAAGTAAATGTCCCTGGGCTGTACCTCTTGAGATAGGTGAGCTCCACTTCCTGGTGGGTAACCATATCGGAGAAGTGAAGAGGAATCAGATGTAGAACTGTCCAGTACTTTCTCATAATGTTATGCAATTCTCTCTTCTTGATAATATCCTTGTTGCCTGATACGTGTTTATAAAAGGAATGTTGTGATAGAAATTGAGGGAGGAAAGTACCTCAATCTGGGTGAGGATAACTTCTGTTGCTATTTGGCCAGGGGCTTGATGTCCCTCCTGGATTCATTTTCAACCATTTGAAGTAAGCATTGCAAATCAAGTCAACCCCTTAGATGAAATATACCTCTGGAGGGGAGTAGGGATTTACATTTGCACTTAAGTGTTTTGTGAAGAAATCTTGGTGTTCAGCCTTAGATATTTTGTTTTAGTGAATACTTGGGGTACAAATACATCTGCAGCATTACTTGGCGATGAGCCAGTCGTGGACCCGTTGTCTATCAGGAATTGTTCTTCTCTTCTTGCATTATCTTGCAGGATGATGGGAAGACTGTGCTAGAGTACGCCACACAAGAACACCCTTTTAGTGTTTTGGGAATTAGGACTCAGTTACCAATTCTTGGTTGTGAATGTGATCATCCAGATTTAAGAGCCACAAGGCTGGGGTTTGTGTAACCCACAGGTTCACAATCCAAAGGATTTGTGGAAGGTGAACAGCTCAGTTGAGCCTCATCTATGGAAATGCCTGCAAGATCAATGTCAGGGTATCTCCAGCTTAGATCATGGCCAGGGTCTTCCACCCTGTAAAACAAGCTAGAGCCTCCCCTATAGGTGAGCTGGACTAAAACTGTTCACTCTTGTTGTCTTACATCATATACATACACATGGTTAAAATTGCATGTCTATTCTATTTTGGTGTCGGTTCACTTTATTGTTGGGCATCCATTTACTGATCAAGCCTTCCCACCCCAATATTGCCTCTGAACAGCCTTCATCTGGTGTTATCCAGATGTACTGAGAGGTGACCATCTCCAGCTACATCTTCAGATGGGTTGAACTACATCTTACATCATCCCCAGTCAAAAGAGCCATCTGCTGGGGATTGAAACCTCTCTGTCTGAAAAGTGCTGGGCTAGGGTGGCTGATGAAGAAAAAGGTGAACCCAGATTGGAAGAGCTGAGCCAAACTATTTCCTCCCCCTCATTTCAAAATATGCCTCTTCCACCTCCTGATTTTGTTGGCATTAGGGGTAGAGCCACAAGCATCGTTGCTTTGTAAATGATGAACTTCTGCTGTGAGTTGAAGATGGGAGAATGAGGAACCAGGACGCCTATAACTTATTTTATTTTAATATTATATATAGAAAGATATATTCTGGGTGTGTAAAAAAATATCCTTATAGTGGTGCATTTATCATGTCTTAAAAAAAATAACCATAAACCATCATTAAAAAAGACAGATGAAGGCCAGAATGACTTGGTTTAGTGTTCTCATATACCGTACAGTTAAAGGGATTTTAGGGTGCTTCCAAATAAGCCTTTAGTGCAACTGCCTCGCTTCCTTCACGGCACTTCAGAGATACTTGTATTCTCTTCCGCTTGTAATTCTGTGTTTTCTCACCATTAGCCTTTCTCCTACCCATTAAAAAAAAATCTGATATATAGGAAAAGATATAAAGCTGCACAAAGGCTTTTGAGGGGAAGCATCAGAAATCATCCATTTAGAAGTAGCTGTCATCATTTTTAACTTTTCGCACGCCTAAGCATGTTTCTGCCATTTTAAAATTTTTTTATTATAAGAAAAAGGGAGAAAGCAAAAGCCTTTACCTCTTACACTTGTAAGTCTTACACGTAGTCTTGTTATGCAGTTCAATTATTAGCATTTAAATTTAAACTGTAGTAAGAGTGAAAAATGAAAGAAACTGGTATACACAATTAAGATTCTTTGGACCATTGCATAATTATGGGAATCTTTCTACCCTTGTATTTTTTTTTTACTTTCTTATTTGCATTCCAAAAAGCGCAGAGTGTCTCTCTGTTGCCTCTCAGTAGTTTGTTCCTCCAGCTTAAACCGTCTTTAGCCTCCCGTTTTGTGCAATTGCTAGTGATTTGTCTTGCCGTAATCGAGAATTGCTAAGTTCTGTGTTCCAAAGCTGTCTCACTGATTATTAGAAATCCAACTCTTAATAAAGTGAATGGGGCATAACCTCTCTTCCCTTGGTGATAATTTTGATGCACTGACTGATTCCTTGCTCAGAATTCCTTGCTGGTTGTGAGAGATTAACATTTTACAGCATTTTCAGCCAGTATCTGAATTGATCTTCAGAGATGTGCTCTGCGGCTGGGGCAGTCAATCCCATCAAGAACTACAGATAGCAGACTCTCAGGACACCACTGGTCCATGAACACAGAGCCACTCGGTCTTGCGAGGGGGAGCCTACCTTGGTTCTTCCCCATCCAAACCTTCACAGCCTCCATCCACAGTCCTACTGGGTCAGCTAATGTATCATCAACATATGATGCTCTGCTGTTGTGTGACTTCTCCAAGCAGTCTCATGTCAGGGTTAAATTGGAGAGGGGAGAGTGTTAAGCCTTGAGGAGCCCACAAACCACAAGTCTAGGACTCAATCTCTCCCTCCCCCCACAACACGAACTAGCCCCAAAGAAAGCAGGGGAGCCACTTGTAAACAGTGTGCCCCACTGCTCACTCTTGAAGTCAGGAAGGATATCGTATCAATGGTATCAAAAGCCACTGGGAAATCAAGGAGAACTAGGAGAGCCTCCAAGCATGATCAGGGCTGTCTCAGTGTTACATCCCAGCCTGAAATCTGAGTGGAAAAAGGTCCAGATAATTCCTCCAGGATCCCCTGGAGATGTAAGCCAACCATCTTCTCTCTTACCTTCCTGTAAAGGAAGGTAGAGCCGGCCTTGGGGAAGGTATGAAAGAACCATTTAGGGGAAGAGATTACATAGTCCAGAGGTTGAAGGTAGCATGAGAAACAGAATCACCCCACCCTGATTTTGCTTAGTATAAGGCAGTGTTTCCACCATAATCATGCTGGCTGGGGAATTCTGGGAGTTGAAGTCCACACACCTTCAACTTGCTAAGGTTGAGAAACACTGGTATAAGGGGACAGAGGAACTTCAGGCTTTCAAGGTTGATGTCAGCCCCTTGAGATGGTCCAGGTCAAGAAACGGACCCCACTGAGATTCCAGGAATTCCACTTTATTGTTGTATATTAGCATTGAAAGCCTGTTCACGTTTCTCTCTGTTCCAACTTATACTAAACAAAAAAGGTGGGTTACTTTGAGTTTCTCAAGTTTGCTTCTATCCCTGAACTCTGTAATCCAGTGTTTCTCAACCTCAGCAGCTTGAAGATGTGTGGACTTCAAGTTGCCAAGGTTGAGAAACACTGGTGTAATTGCTTCTCCAAGTCCTTCCTTAATGGCTCTTCCATACTTTCCCCTAGGTCAGCTCTCAGTTCCTCTACACTTCCCCCAAAAGGGGTAGTTGAAAACTGGATAACGTCACTGGGTCTAGCAAAGTTTCCTTGAGCAGGGGGCACGCCCCCGCCTCTTTCAATGCAAGAACAACTCCCACTCAAGGATGAATTCACCACTACTTGGATCCAACCACACGTCATCTCCTGGGCAGCCTTGACCAGCCAGGAGGGACATAAATCTAGCCTGCAGGTGGCTATAATCAGAGCCCCAAGGATTCTGTCCACTTCTGTGAGACTCACAAGCTTAAAGTCCTCCTAGACAACAAAGAAGACCAGCCTCTGTCTCTTCAGGAGGATTTGCCCTGTCAGAGTCCAGCTTGGAGCAGATCTGAGCAATTTTATCCACCAGATCCCTAGTATAATCGTCACAGTGGCCCTTGAGGTGTTAATCACGTCCCTCCCTATCAGGTAGGGTCACCCTAAATAGGGCCACTGGACAGCACGCTACTGGAAAAAAATGTGTTTTGCCTCTTATCACATAATTTAGTTCTTAATCCAGGGCCATACACATGTCCAGTCAGACTTGCTCCATCTTCCTTCAGTGGTGCTCTAGGTGTCTCTTCCACTGGTTTATTTCTGAGAGCTCCTTGGATCATTGATTCCAGGGTCACTGGACAGGGAGACACCGTTCAGGAGCAATCCAGTCCAGGGCCAACACCATCTGTTCCTTCCAGGTGGTGACCAAAACCTCAGTCAAGCTGCCCACCAGAATCTGATGAACTTCCTCCAGCATCTCTAGCTACCAACGGGATCTATAAGGCAGCTAGGGCAGAGTGACCAAATAGTTCCCACCTCCCCACTGCAGGGAGCATCACTGGAAAACTCCATCCCAACCAGACCTGACCATGACAAGGGACAGAAGTTACTATACCTGAAATCATGTCACAACTGCCCAGATGGGGTGTCCACCAGAGAGAGTTGGCCCTTGACCTGGGTCAGGATTATGATCACTATGGGATCCATGAACTTCCAAGTCACCTCAGGATTTGCACCAAGGGAAAGTGGATTGAAGCCCCCCGCTGCCATACACCTGGGAAACTCCACCACCACCCAGGTTCAGCCTCAAGTAGCCCAGGCAAGAAAGTTGTCAACCCCCCAAGACCAACTTCACAAACAGCATCTTTGCGAAGCAGCATCTCGAGAGCAGTGTTTTTCAACCTCGACAACTTGAAGATAGGGGACTTCAACTCCCAGAATTCCCCAGCCAGGAATTCTGGAAGTTGAAGTCCACACATATTATAACTGCCGAGGTTGAGAAACACTGCTCTAGAGATACACAGTACACACACGTCATGCTATACCAGTATTCCTCAACCTTGGCAACTGTAAGAGGTGTGGACTTTAACTCCCAGAATTCCCCAGCCAGCCTTGCTACCTGGCCACTTTTGAGCATGAACAGGAGACCCTTTATTTGCATATTCCCAGGCCAAAACTTTGCTCACGCGGTGCTGAACGGAATGAACATGGTGCTGAATTTTGACAATATTTCTTAAGCAGCCCCTCTTTCATTTACTAAACAGTTTGAAGTCCCTTCCTTGAGCACCTCCTCAGGGACATTGCCCTGCTTGTAAATTGCAAGCCGTCTTTAGATTGGAGATCTGGACGGGGAGGGCACTCAGATAACTCAAAGAAAGTCGTGGTTGCGTGACTGGGTATGTGCTGCTGTCCTTCAAACAACAGGAGTATCTTTCATGGACGGGGCTCAGGTGATGTCTTCTCCAGCCCATGTCTTCTTCTGGCCCTGGTCCCCTGATCAGGGAAAGACCCAAATTGTCACATCCCGATTCTCCTCCCCCGGAAACGGCACTGAACAATTATCAGCTCTTCAGGAAATGACCAGACCAGAGAAAAGTAAGTAAGAACAACAACTTGGCAGTGGCAGACTCAACTGACGCTGTCAGACCAAATCCTGTGGGGTTGAACAGGGTGCTCATGTGGAGGTTGCACATCCTGAGTCGGCCAATGTACGGGATGTACCTCCGAATTGGTGGAATGTGGGCAACAGAGTCTGGACTTGCAAGACTTGCTAAATTAGAGGGCTGGGCTGGCAGGGAAACCAGAAACCAAAGCCAAGAACTGGTGTCCTCATTCATTTCGGGAACAACTCAAACATTCATTACTTCCCCAGAGGCCCTCCAGAAGAACCAGGTCTTAACAGCCCTCCAAAAAACTAACAAGGATGGGGCCACCACCTGGAGATGTGCCACCACCGAGAAGGCCCATCTCCAGGTCTCCTTGCATCAACGCTTCCAGGTGGGTAACCCATAACATGCCCTATGAATTCTCACTGGATGAGCAGAATTTATTCAACGTACAGGTAGTCTTCAGATTATGACAGCAATTGGGACTGGGAACTTGGTTGCTAAACAATGCGGTCATAAAGCATGACATCATGTGACTGTGTCACTTAGCAACAGCAATTCCAGTAGTCCCAGTTGCTGTTAAGTAAGGACTATCCGGGTCATCCAGCAAGGATCTTACGTGACCACAACTTCTGACTTCCTGCTGGCTTCCCCATTGATTTTGCTTGTGGGAAGCTGGCAGGGTATGTTGGAAATCATGATCACATGACCACGGGGATGCTGCAATGGCCAGAACCCCGAGGAGCCATTGTAAGTCCCCCTTGTTCAGTGCCGTAGTAACTTTGAACAATCACTGCACAAATGGTCATAACCGAGGATCACCTATAGGTGGTCTTATAAATTCCCAGTCATAGAGGGCTTTATAGGTAATAATCAGCATCTTAAGTTTCACATAGAAGCCAACAGACAACCAACAGAGCTTCTTCAAAAGATGTGCCATATGGGTTACTGAGGTAGACCCCTCACCATGTGGGACACCACGTTTTGCAACAGCTGCACCTTCCAAATGGTCTTCAAGGAAAGGCCATGTAGAGCCAGTTACAGTAGTCAAGACATGAGGCAACAAGGGCATGAGTAACTGTCAATATAGCCTCTGCCAGCAGGGACAGCCACACCTGGGGCATAAGCCGGAGTTAGGCAAAGAGTGATCCAGCAGGACACGTGTCCAATGGAATGCAGGTCTACTTTCTACAAGGGAGTCAAAGATGGATTCTCACAGGAAGCAGAAGCTTCTGACTCAGTCCACAGCCACTCCATCTTGCTGGGGCTGAGCGTAAGCCACCCAGGATTGACAGCCTGCAGGCACAAATACTTCACCTACATCTACTGTTCTGCCTGAAGTGGAGATGTATCTATGGGTATCACACCCCAAGTCAATGGAAGACCACCTCCGGCAGCTTCATGGAGATGTTGAATGGTAAGAGGAGAAGGCCAAACCTTGTGACCCTCCCCACCAGAATTCCCTAGGGTTCAACCTCTCTTCCACCACTGGGCCCACCCCTTCAGGAAGGAGTAGCATCATAGCCCGGAATGATACCCCAGTCAAGGTTCAAAAGCTACGGAGACGTCCAACAGGACCAAGATGGTTGTACTGCCTCATCCAGGTCCCACCAGACCTCATCCTCAAGAGTGACCATTGCAGTTTCCATCCTGTGCTGTTGGATGCATCGTCTCCACCCACCAAATAGTTTCCTCCATGGCACAGAATTAAGGAGGGATCACCTGGTGTCTCACTTTCCACCTCTATTTGGCCTGCCTTTTGTCTCATTTTTCCCAGTGAATTATTTTTTGAGGTTTGTGGAGAATAACATCAAGCAACACTGTTTGGGTTTGTTTGTGGT